GGTACGCAGGATGAGACCCTCCCTGCTCGCAGACTGTCTCGCCAGAGTGGTGCATGCTCTAGTTATCTCCCGCTTGAGCTACTGCAATGTGCTCTACGTGGGTCTACCTTTGAAGGTGACCCGGAAACTACAATTAATCCAGAATGCGGCAGCTAGACTGGTGACTGGGAGCGGCCACCAATACCACATAACACTGGTATTGAAAGACCTACATTGGCTCCCAGTACGTTTCCGAGCACAATTCAAAGTGTTGGTGCTGACCTTTAAAGCCCTAAAAGGCCTCAGCCCAGTATACCTGAAGGAGCGTCTCCACCCCCATCATTCTACCCAGACACTGAGGTCCAGCGCGGAGGGCCTTCTGGCGGTTCCCTCACTGCGAGCAGCAACAAGTTACAGGGAACCAGGCAGAGGGCCTTCTTGGTGGTGGCACCCGCCCTGTGGAATGCCCTCCCACCAGATGTCAAAGAGAACAACAACTACCAGACTTTTAGAAGACATCTGAAGGCAGCCCTGTTCAGGGAAGCTTTTAATGTATTATGGGATTTTAATATTTTGTTGGAAGCCGCCCAGAGTGGCTGGGGAAGCCCAGCCAGATGGGCAGGGTATAAATAATAAATAATAATAATAATAATATAATAATAATAATAATAATTATTATTATTATTATTATTACCACTACCACCACCTGCCAGTTCCAGACCTGGCCTGCCAGGGCCCAAAGGGTTGCCAACCCCTAGGCAGATGCGCTTGGGGGACTGACCATTAGGAGATATAACCCAAGATCAATAAATAGTAAGTGTGTGTCTTCGTTCCTTTAAAAAGTCATCTCTCCATAGGATGGGGGCATCGTTTTTCTCGACCACCAGTGCTCTCCCCTGTTCCTCCGCCGACAGCTGACCCTCCTGGCCCAAGCCTGCCTGCCCCACCCGGTCCGAGCCCCGCATGACGGCCCCACAGGACATTGGGTGAGTGTGCCGGGCAGAGGCTGCCAGGCAAGGGAGAAGAGTCCCTGCCAGGCCCTCCAGGATTTGGGGAGCGGGAGGAGGAAACCACAGAACCGTCGTTGGGATCCGAGGGTCATCTAGTCTGACCCGCCGCAGAAATCATGGCTAAAGGGGCTGTGTTTACTTTGGCTAACCAGCTCTCTTGCTTCGCAGCCCCTGCCGTTGGCAAAGGCAGACGTGGCCCAGGCTGTCACTTGGCTTGAGAGCCACATGGCCCAGCAGAGCTCTGAGAAGCCCCCGACAGGTGGGGAACGCTGCCGTTTCCTGAAGCGAGCGTCTGCGGCGGGCGGAGGTTTGTGCCCGACGCAGCTGGCACAGGTGAGGCGACGGTTGGTTGGTGGGGGAAGGGGAAGAGCACTGCAGGAATCACCACCGATAAAATCCTGCACCTCTTTCCCGTTCCCAGGCTCTGCGGAAGCTGCTCCAATGCTGGGAAGACGCCCGTGGTCCCCGGAAACCGTGGAGACCGAGTAGGAAGCGCCGGGCTCTTCGTCGCTGGGCAGATGGCCTTCTGCAAGCAGATGTGGGTGGCGGAAGGCATTCCGCAATCGCCAACCCCGTGAAAGGCGTAAACGGCGGCCCGCCTCCCGTTACCCTGAGCTTGCAAGCTGAGCAAAAGGGCATTTCGGAGTCAATAGACCTTGGTGGACAGGCCCGGCCGAGTGCGATGCCCCTGCCAGGCGGCCTCTTGGGGCAGCAGCCCCTCGTCACGCAGGACATCCGCCCCTCGCTGCCCGTCCTGCCCACCGAGGCAAAAGCGGCCGGGGGCACGGGATGCCGGTGCCCAGATGGAGGACTCGGCAAAGCGCAAGGGCACGAAGGCAGGAAGGAAGCCAGAGGGTCCCAAGCGGGGGTCCGTGTCCCCACCCCACGCACCGAAGAGGCGGCCTGGGCGGCCAGTGCCCTCACTTTCCTGCTGGTGGTGCTGACCCTCGCCGTCCTTTACACCCGGCTCCACCGGAAGTGCCGCCGCGGCAGAAGCCTCTACTGGACCACGAGCACCGAGGAGGGGAGCGACACAGTGGCTGGTGAGTGGCCCGTGGGGAAGGTGGGGGGGTTCTCAGCCCTCCCCCCATGCTGTGGGGCAGGTGCATCATAGACACGTATCCAGAGCAAACTCAGTGCCCAGTTTTAACCTCTGGGGAAATGCTGGTTGTTTACAGTAGCAATCTAAGATTGGATAACCTGCGGAACTCCTGGCCGCAAGATGCGGCCTACTTGAGTTCCGTGCTTGACGAGGGGGGTGGGAAATGCTGGTTGCCACCCATTGATAAGCTGTGGAACGCTCTGCCACAAGATGCGGCCTACCCCTGCTCTGTGCTTGACAAGAAGGGTGAAGGCTTAGAGCAGAGTGGGTGGGGAAACTTTGGCTTTCTGGGTGCTGCCGGACTCCCAACTTGCAAGCACTCCAGCCGGGATGACCAGTGGGTCAGGGATGATGGGAGTCCAGCAGTGCCAGGAGATCCGCAGCTTTTCCTGAGATTTTGCAGCGCTTCTGGATCAGGCAAAGTCATTCTGGGGGTGAATATTCAGAGTTACCGTCTAGCATAGCTGAAGGGGTCTCTGCATTCAGGCAGCCCACCTCTCAATTACCTAGAGGTGTGGTGGGCCAGCCCTCACTGGAGAAGCTCACGGCAGAGGTTGGAACCATAGAACTCCTGAAAGACCTACACTGGCTCCCAGGACGTTTCCAGGCACAATTCAAATTGTTGGTGCTGACCTTTAAAGCCTTAAATGGCCTCAGCCCAGTATACCTGAAGGAGTGTCTCCACCCCCATCATTTTGCCCGGACACTGAGGTCCAGCTCCGAGGGTCTTCTGGCAGTACCCTCGCTGTGAGAAGCAAAGCTACAGGGAACCAGGCAGAGGGCCTTCTCGGTGGTGGCGCCCACCCTGTGGAACACCCTCCCACCAGATGCCAAGAAATTAAACAACTATCTGGCTTTTAGAAGACATCTGAAGGCAGCCCTGTTTAGGGAAGCTTTTAATGTTTGATCTTTTATTGCTATTATTATTATTATTATTATTATTATTATTATTATTCTGTTGGGAGCCTCTAGAGTGGCTGGAGAAACCCAGCTAGATGGGCAGGTCATAAATAATAAATTACTACTACTAATAGTAATAATAATAATACCGTGGTACCTCAGGTTATTAGTATTTATGTTAAGGTGAAAGATAAGCTTTGGCCCAATGCTTCAGGTTACAGACTCTGCTAACCCAGAAATAGTACCTCAGGTTAAGAACTTTGCTTCAGGATGAGAACATAAATCGCACGGTGGCGGCACAGCAGCCCCATTAGCTAAAGTGGTACCTCAGGTTAAGAACAGCTTCAGGTTAAGAACGGACCTCCAGAATGAATGAAGTTCTTAACCCGAGGTACCACTGTAATTTGGAAATGGCCATCAGCTAGTGAGGACCCAGATGCAAATTTTCATTCAGGAAGAGTCTTCTGTGTTTGCCACCCAGTTGTTTGATCGGTTTTATACCTGATGAGGTATCTCTAGTCCTACCTTGAGATGCTGTGATTTAGATCTGGGACCTTCCTATTGCGATGTGGTCCCCTGCCTAAAATTTAAGTGGGGCTGGCTGCAGTGGGGGGGGGGATGACTGCTTTGCTTGACCCCGTGGTGAGGTGTGGAGGGTCCCCTATTATGTTTCCACATCTCCACGAACCCAGAGTCGGCAGGAGTCTTGGCTTCAGGGGGTCAGCAATGGGGCTGGCTTCCCCCTCTTCCTGCCGGCTTGCAAAGTTTTCCACTCCTTTCTCCTTTTGCAGCTGTGATCAAGCGGCGTCTCCTCTCCGCCCAGACCAGGCGCAAGAAGCGAAGTCGGCAGCAGCAGCAGCTCCCACCCAAGGCGCCTCTTCTGCCGACGTCCACCAGCGACAGCTCAGATTAGGGACAACCCTCTCGGGTGGAGACGTCCAGCCGAAGGCCTCCCGGAAATCTGGGCTTTGCCAACGGAGAAGGTTGTCTGCGGGCGAAACTTTGGCGTTGCGGCAAAACAGCAGCCTGACCGTGGTCTGTTTACTCTCCGGAGGAGCTGGCTCCTTGCCTTCGTTTGTTTTTCTTACGCAATAAAATCTTCTATTTTTGCTACGAAAAGCAGGATGAGGCATCCCTAAAACAACCGGGAGGTTTGCAGATCGGGGGAAAGGCACGCTTTGCGCTGCAGGCACAGAGCCCAGTCTGTTTCGCGCGGGTCAGTTTTCTGAGGGCAGCACAGATATGGTCTTCTAGAGCCATGAGGACTAGGCGCTTGGGGTAGCGAAAACTGTCCTGTGAGCTGCATGCCGGCAGCCAGGGAAGTGCAAGTGGTAGGAAAATGAGCCTCCCCCCTTGAAACTTTTGTTTTCGTAGAATTTTATAGAAGGGGGTTGGGCTGGATGACCCCTGGGGTCCCTTGCAGCTCTACAATTCATTGATTTTATCAAAAGTTCAAGGACACGTTCCAGCCTGGCCAAAGCACTCAAGGAGGGCGTGTGCCACCTGGGACTAGGCTGCAGAGAGAGGTACAAAGGGCCTGCCTCCTGGCACTGACTGGCAGTCACTCACAGGGGGTATTTTTAAGGGTTTCATTTATTACATTGATGCAACACCTTTTCTTCCAAGGAACTCAAGGTGGTTCTCCCCCTCCTCATTTAATTGCCACAACAACCCTGTGAGGTAGGCAAGGCTGAGCCAGGGTCATACCCAGTGAGCTGCATGGGGATAAATTTGAGCCCTGGTTTCTCACAGGGCTCCAAGGCTCTAACCATTATGCCACACTGCCTTGCACTGGTTGAGCTTGGGACATTCTGCTCTACTGTTGGGCGACATTCCTGTCCTAGACCCAAGGAACACGCGCATACTCAAAACACAGGAATCTTCCAGGGCGGACGAGACATTCAGCCAACTCAGCGGTTCTGGGGGTAGGGTAACGGGTTCAAATGACCTCTATATGGTGTGGCTGTTTTTAGAGGGGAGGAAATAAGTTATTCCAACGGGGCAACCCCGGGAGATGCTCACATCTTTTTATTTGTTACAAATGTACAGGACAAACAAGATTTCCAGCGCAGTGCCCAGATGCAGCCCTCCATAGCCATGTGTCTCCCCCACCCCACATTCCCTCAATGGCCTGAAAAACTTCACAGATTTCAAGGGGGCGGGGGGGGGGGAACACGACTGGCCAGTGAGGGGGAAATGGGGAGTGGAACTGATTCTTTGCTACGGAGGCAATGGCAGACCCCATACTCTTCCCCCCAAAAAGGAATGATGGGTGGGGGTGGGGAGTAGTGATCCAGCCGGAGGTTTCCGGGGAGGGGGGGGAATGATGCCCCGACCCACAGCACCTAGACGTTGTAATTCCAGTGTTAACACTATTAGGGGAGGGAACGTGGTGAGATAAATACATTTGGTGTTTATATATCTCTCTATACATATATATATATCGGTGCGTGGTCAGGTGGGTCAGGAATGGGACACATACAGTTCCACGCACTATATGGGAAGGTGGGGAGGAAGAGGAGGAGGAAGAGTATTGTTTGCAAGGGGGGGGGAGAGAGATTTGACTCCCTTCAGAAGGACCCCCGCCCCGCTACAAAGGGCAGGAAAAGCTAACCTGCGGCCCTTCAGGTGTGTCTGGATGCGTCACTTCCATCTGCCTCTGGAGCCGACTTGGGTCAATGGGCTGCGATTCCTGCCTTCCAGGGGGTTGGGCTACATGAACTGTGTGGCCCCTCTCCAGCTAGGGGTTCTAGACTTGAACTCGCAACCGCCCCGAGCAGTCAGCACAGGCTGGGTTGATTGTGATGATGACGAACGCAATACAAGTCCCAAGCCATTTGTACACCCAGGACTGTCTGCACTGACCGGCAGCAGCCCAACAGGGTTTCAGGCAAGGGGCCTCTCTCCCAGCCCTGCCTGGAGATGCCGTTGGGGCTTGAACCCGAGACCTTCTGCATGCAAGGCGGGGACTCTATGGCCTGCTTCCTCCCGGATCTTGAACGCCACACAGGTACGCGCCCCCCCCAGTGCCAAAGGATGGGGAGATGGGAATATTTACAGGGGGAGATTTCTTCACTGCGCAGGCACCCCAGCGCCATGGGGCGTGTGCCCTATAGGGCCCTATCCTGCCCCCCCCCGCAAGCTGCAGTGGGGAGTGTTGATCCAATCCAGCCTGGGCAGGCTGATTGGCAGGGAGGGAGGCGGGTGAGTCGGTGGGGAAAGGACACTTCCAAGTGGCTGCACCCCCCAAAATCCTCCAGTGGGGAAGGGAGGAGCTGGGGGGGTGGGGAGGAAGAGGGGCTGCGCCAGCCTCGTCCCCCCCCCGCCTGCCCGCCCTTCACTGCTTCTTCTCGCGGGTGGTGATGGTGACCAGCTGTTTGGCGGCCTTGGCGATGTCGTAGGCACACTGGATGACCTGTTGGGTCAGGAGCTGGTAGTCCACAGGGGCCCCCGGCTCCGGGGGGACCGTCTTGCGGCACTCGCTCTGCAGGCGGTAGGCGCTGGCGTTCAGCAGGCGCAAGGAGCTGCGCACCGTCTCCAGGGCCGGCTTCTGCGGAAGGAGCGGAAAGGGAGAGTGGCGTAAGACTCCCAACTCACGTCCAGAGGTCCAGAGTTCAAGTCTAACCTCCTTATTGTGAACTCGCAAGGCGGCCGCCCAGCCTCACTGCTGACTAAAGGGACTCTGTCTGGCCTACACAGCCAGTTCGGAGTAAGGGCCTGAATTAACCCTACCCTTCACCAACCCAAAAACATGTGCAGAGAGCCTCAAAAGGTTGCCTGTTTTGTTTTACATTTCCAAAAGTCGTCATCTCTTAGGCGGTCAATTTTTTAATTTTTTTTTTAATTCCTAAAAGTTACCCTATTTTTTGCCCTATAGGGCGCACTGGCCCATAGGACGCACCTGGTTTTTTGGGGGGAAATGGAAAAAAAAATATTTCGTCCCCTCAGTCGCGGGGCTGGGGCGGGGGAAGCCCGAGCTTCCCCAGCCCCCAGAACAGGCTGCTATCCGCAAGCCTTGCGAGCCCAGCGGAAACTCCCGCCGGGCGCGCAAGGCTTGTGGACATCTGCCCGAAGCATGGGGCGTGCTCTGCAGCGCATCCCGTGCTTCAGGCTGCCGCCCCAAGCCTTGCGCGCCCGGCGGGACCTCCTGCCGGGCATGCAAGGCTTGCGGACACCTGCCCGAAGCACGGGCGCCCTCCGGAGGTCGCCCCATGCTTCGGGCTGCAGACTGCTGCCCGCGAGCCTTGCGAGCCCGTGGGAACTCCCGCCGGGCATGCAAGGCTTGCGGATAGCTTCCTGAAGCCTGGAGAGCGAGAGGGGTCGGTGCGCACCGACGCCTCTCGCTCTCCAGGCTTCAGCGAAAGCCTGCATTCGCCCCATAGGACGCACACACATTTCCCCTTCATTTTTGGAGGGGAAAAAGTGCGTCCTATAGGGCGAAAAATACGGTATATCCTGCTTGATCATAGGAAAATAACATCGCAGTGATTAGACTTGTTCATCTCTGTGTGTGTGTAAAAATTCAAAATAATGGAGGGTGGGTGGGTTGGAGGGAGGTAGAAGTTGGAGCTTGGCTGCTGGCGGGTGGGAGAGGGTCCCATGTTCTTGCCCCCCAAGCCCTATTTTAAACTATCACTTCCCACTCCCGGCTTCTAAGGAGCCCTTTAAGAATATGAGAGCCTGCTGGATCAGGCCCCTGGCCCACCTAGACCAGCATCCTGTTCTCACAGCGGCCAAACAGATGCCCCAGTGAAAAACCTATAAGCAGGATCCGGGCATGAGAGAAAATCTCCCTGCACTTTCCAGCAACTTAAGGATCGCCATGCCTGCCTCTTGTGGCAGGGAGTTCCAGAGTTTAACTGCACTGCCTGAAAAAGGATTTTCTTTTGTCTGCCCCGAATCTCCCAAATGTTCTAGTGATACGAGAGAGGAAAGTTTTTCTCGATCCACCACCTCAACACCAAGCGTCATTTTACAAAGTTCCACCACGCCATTTCTTGCTTGTCTTTTCTCTAAACTGCAAACGGCGCTGCAACTTTTCCTCACAGGGGAAACCTCTCAAGCTCTGTAACATCCTTTGGGAGGTGTTACGTCCTGGAAAAGCCCCTGGGAGTGGAGTCCGCTCATTTTGAGGACGTTTCCTGGGCTGGGAAGGAGATTTCCCCACCCAGACCCCTCTCTCGGCAGAAGCGGCTCTCCCGCTCTCTCCTACCTTGGGGAAAAGCGACGCCATTTCCGTGACGGCAGCGTGAATCTTCTCCGAACAGGGGACGAAGCTGCTGGGGTTAAGAAGGGACAGAATGAGGCCCAGGCCCAGAGTGCTGACTTCTTTCCCCACACCTGTGTTGCAGGTCTTGCCAGTTCCCCACCCCAGTCGCAGCATTACCCAAAGATCCCTTTAGGGGTTCAAGAAGAAAATAAACTTTATTCAGCAGAGCAATTCTGATTCCTTAAGAGCATTTGAGGGAATCTGCCGTCTCCCCAAATCCCAGATATGGGCACCCCTCCTTGCTATGGAAGCGGCAAGCTCAGAGCAGGGACTCGTGCAGAGACACACAACAGGCAGATGTCCTCCGAAAGGAGCCAAATCCTGCAGCTGTCTCCCCAGCGTGAACAACTGCATGCCAGCGACAGCAAAAGGTATACCAGAATGACAACCTTGCGGAGGCTGGCTAGGCGGAAGACCAGAACGGAGAATCACACAGAGATGCAGCAGGCACACTCATTTTCATTTCTCGCGGCGCGTCACCAATCTGTCCCTACCCCATGTTGCCCCAGAGGATTCCTGGAGGGATTCATCCTGACCTGTCGTGCTTGAACTCCTGGGCAGCTCGGAGGAGCTCCTGGATATTCTTTGTGACCTGTTCCGTCTTGAGAATGACATCTTCCGTGCTGGGCAGGCCCGGGTCCAGGTCGCCTTCCAGTGGTTCAGGTTCTGGGTGCAAGTCATCGTCCTTGCTGAGGTCCAGCAAGCGCTTCCCATCCATGCTGAGAAAGGGGAGGGGGGGAGAGAGAAGCAGAGTGGGTTTGGGGGCAGGGAAAGATGCTACCCTCCTGATCCCTGATGCCAACTCAGATATTGCCATCATCAAAAGCCAGGGAGGGTGCTATTTCTAGGCAGGGAAGACAGAGAGCGCCAGAAGAATCTTTGCTTCTGTTTAAAGGAACAATGTTAAGTTTCTAGTCCTTAAGGTGGGTGATGGGGGAAAGAGAGAGGAAAACCACAGAAGATTGGAGAATTGCTGAGCAAGATTTCCAGCTGTTGTAAAGGAGAGGGGAGATATCTGAGCTGCTTACGTGACCCTGACATCCCAGTTTGTCAAAACAAGGATTGCGCAAGAGTCGCATAATGCTAGCAGGTTGCCGAACCGAACTTCCCTCAACGCAGAATTTGGCTTGCCGGCAGCGGAGGGGTGTTTCCAGTGAAACTCTACTCAGAGTAGGCCCACTGCAGAGAATGGACTTAAGCGTCTGTATTCATTTCACTGGCTCTGCTCCCAGGATAACTGAACACACTGGATGCAGCCTGGAGTTCTTAGTCGCTTTTGAGCCACGAGGTCTTCTCAAGTAGCTAGTCCTGTGCAAGTCCCAGAAAGGGATGCCCTGCACAGCCCTCGCCCTCACCTGAGTGGCAGATCCCCGCCCTGCGTGTTGTCATAATCGCTGTCTGTGCCGCTGCCATGTCGGTCCAGTTTTCCAGTCTAGGAAAGGGGGGGGGAGAGAAATTGGGCAGTGTTAAAAGGGGGGGAGCTGGCGGCAGGCACCCCTGTTGTGTAACCGGAGCAGAGGCTTGCTTTGCATGCAGAGGGGTCCCAGGCGTCTCTAGTTTAAAGGAACTCCAAACGCTGCTGCCGGTCAGAGCAGGTAATACTGAGCTAGTTGGACAAAGAGTCCAGCCAGCCAGGCATGCAGAAGGTCCTGCGTTGAATCCCCACCACCGCTGAATAAAAGGTGGCAGGGCTAGGAAAGGAAGAACCCCCCGCTGAGACCCGGCATAGCTGCTGCCGGTCAGAGCAGACAGCATTGAGCTGGATGGGCAAAGAGTCTGATCTGGAATAAAAAGGAAGCTTCAGAAACTCCCAACCCCAAAAACAGAAATGTCATAAGTCACCATGTGACGTCCGCTCTCCGGGGCGCAGGACAGGAGGGGAGAAGACTGGGGGAATGGCATTGAGGAGATGGAGCCGCCTTTCCGCATCTGAAAGGGAGAGGGCAGGAGGCAGCCGTTAGGCAAACGCAGGGACACCGGATTCCGATGGGCAGAGGGATCACTTGGCAGAAGCCCAGGAGATTTTCTTTTCATGTCTTCTGCCTGGTTGTGGCCCCCGGCCCCCAGTAGCAGCCCAGAAGGAGCGAGATATATTGGTTTTTACGCACATTTCCCAGCCTATCATCCTTTTCAAAAATGTTGGCTATCACAGCCTAGGACTTCCTTCAACCTCGACTGATGGTTTTCTAAAGTCTTTTCTAATTGTGCATCTTGTTACTATAGTTATTGCTACAAATTCATATCTTAAATACAACTATTCGGAATTCCCTTTGCAATGATTTATATAATACTCCTTACAAAATGTCTTTTAACCCTACAAGGGATGTTAATTGGTTACAATCGCTTTCCAAATGTATCATAAACCTCTTCCATTAGGAAAGTCTGGTCCTGCTGGTTCCGAATTTTCCCAGCTAGTCTCGCCATCTCGGCATAGTTCATCAGTTTCTCTTGGGTGACCCACTTTGACCCACATAACTCTCCTTCCACATGTGTAAGAAACCCATTTTTGCGTGTGGCAGCGCCTACACTTTGGAACTCCCTGCCGATTGATAATCAGGCAGCTGTATGCTCTTTTGGGCACCTGATGAAAACATTTTCAACATTAGACAAGCCTACCCACATATTTAGAAACTGGTGTGAGTTCTAATCTGTTTTAGTCCATTTTTATTGTAACTTTTTCAAAGCCTTAATTTTTAAAATTAATTCTTCTTACTGATAATCTTTTTGTTTTATCTTTTTTTTTTTGTAAATCGCTTCAATGTTTCTTTCCTCCCCACCCCAGTAGTCAAGCAGTGTATAATTTTCATGAAATAAATAAATAAAAATGGCAACATTTGCCAACCTGGTGCCTTCCTGCTGCTTTGGACTACAACTCCCATCAGCCCCTGGGTGAGCAAGGAGTTTATGATGAGGGCTGCAGTCCAAACTTTTTTGAGGGTCTGAGGTCGGCGAAGTCTGTCCTAAAAAGCAACCGGGGGGTCACATTAGGGAGGCGGACGAGCCCCACATCTTTCACCCTGAGCCTCCCCCCTTGTAAAACTTAAAAACAAAGTAAATAAATAAATACTTTGCTCACAGGGCCCTGTGGCAAAGCTAGTGAAACCGCCTCCCTACCTGCCTTGGCAGGTTAGCAAAAAATTAGCTATCTGTACATATAAACTAGCAGAGTGTTGTCATCACATCGGACCCCGAGGCTTTGAAGGGTCTAGCAATGGCCCCTGGAGGAAGCGCCACTCACCCGGTAGATGCTGGCCTGGTTGTGGATGGAATATAAGGCTTCCTCGTCCACCTCCTGGAACGGCAGAAGAACAAGGGGGTGAGCAGGGGGGCAACCCCGCAACCCCCAACGAAGAAGCAGCACCTGTTGGATTACAGAATCCCAACCCTGTGGACGTCACCCTCCTCGACTCACAGCTCTGTACAGCAAGGAACCCACCAACCACTTTTTCTTGTTGAAAGCAAATCATGTTTTGGGCAGAGGGCCTTCTCGGTGGTGGCGCCTTCCCTGTGGAACGCCCTCCCACCAGATGTCAAAGAGAACAACAACTACCAGGCTTTTAGAAGACATCTGAAGGCAGCCCTGTTTAGGGAAGCTTTTAATGTTTGATGTATTATAGTATTTTAATATTTTTTGGGAAGCCGCCCAGAGTGGCTGGGGAAGCCCAGCCAGATGGGCAGGGTATAAATAATAAATTATGATGATGATGATGTTTGGGCGGAACAAGAGATCGGGTGAAAAAATGCACCCAAACACTTAACACCCACCCACAAATGCCCCTCCCCTCCTTGGCACTCACCCCGGGGTGGAACGGAGTGGAAAGGCGGGTGACCAGGTCGTCCATCGGCTGCTGGCCAAAGGGCTTGAGGGCCCCAGTGGCGGGCTCATACATGGAGAAGGCGTGGCGGTCCCGGCGGTGGGCTCCCGTGGCCGTGGAGGCCACATGGCCGTGGTCGGGGCGCTCGCTGGGGGGTGGCGCTGCCGCCGGGTGGATGGGCCCCACCTGCTGGCGAATCTGCATGTTCTCCGCCTGCAGCTTGTGGATCTGAAACGCGAGAGGAAGGGGCACAGGACTGTCAGGGCTGGATCCGGCCGAAGGCAGCTCCTAACTCCGAAGGCGGAATCACAATTGGAGAGGATTTTAACAGATTGGAGGAACTGGGTCAGAGCTAGCAAAGTTTATGCACCTATCAAATTTGTATACCGTGCATCATCCGCAGATCTCGGGGCAGTCCACAGCATAAACACGCAAGATAAAAACATAAAATACATTTTTAAAAAACCAGTTACTGTATTTTTCGCCCTATAGGACGCACTTTTTCCCCTCCAAAAATGAAGGGGAAATGTGTGTGCGTCCTATGGGGCGAATGCAGGCTTTCGCTGAAGCCTGGAGAGCGAGAGGGGTCGGTGCGCACCGACCCCTCTCGCTCTCCAGGCTTCAGGAGAGCCCCAGCGCCAGCCCCACAAGGTCAGGGGACAGAGGGAGGCGGAACACCGCCATCCCGCTGTCTCCTGAAGTGGTTTGGAGGCTGGCGGCGGGGACAGTGGGGAGGCGCAGCGCGGGGACAGTGGGGAGGCGCAGCGCGTCTTCCCGCTGTCCCCGGACCTGGTCTGAAGGCAGGCGGCGGGGAGAAGAGCGCTTCTCCCCGCTGCCTGCCCCGCAAGCTCCCGGGGAAAAAAATAATAATTCCCCCCCTCTTTATTTCCCCCCAAAAAACCTTGGTGCGTCCTATGGGCCGGTGCGTCCTATGGGGCGAAAAATACGGTAACTCCACCCTCCCACTCCCATTTAAAAGGATGAATTTCAATAGGGAGAAAAGTCAGGTTTTGCACTTAGGCAGGAAGAACCAGATGCACAAATATAGAATGATGAACACCTGGCTTACTAGTAGTGCATGTGAAAAAGATCCAGGAGTCTTAGTAGATCACAAGTTTCACATGAGTCCACAGTGTGATGCAGCAGCAAAAAAAGCTAATGCTATTCTAGCCTGCATCAAGAGAAGTCTAGTGTCCAGATCAAGGGAAGTAATAACCCCACTCTATTCTGCTTTGGTCAGATTCCTCCTGGAAAACTGTGTTCAGTTCTGGGCGTCAGAATTTAAGAAGCTTGCTCCCTCTTCCATGTGACAGCCCTTCAGATATTTGAAGATGGCTCCCATATCTCCTCTCAGTGTCCTCTTTTCTAGGCTAAACATCCCCAGCTCCCTCAACCGTTCCTCATCAGGCTTGGTTTCCAGACCCCTGGTCATCCTGGTCTCCCTCCTCTGCCCACCTTCCAGCTTGTCAATATCCTTCTTAAATTGTGGTGCCCAGAACTGGACACAGGGCTCCAGGTGGGGCCTGACTAAGGCAGAGTAGAGAGGGACTATGACTTCCCTAGATCTAGACCAGGGGTCAGCAAACTTTTTCAGCAGGGTCACTGTCCCTCAGACCTTGTGGGGGGCCGGACTATATTTTGAAAAAAATAATGAATCAATTCCTATGCCCTACAAATAACCCAGAGATGCATTTTAAACAAAAGCACACATTCTACTCATGTAAAAACACGCTGATTCCCGGACCGTCCGTGGGCCGGATTTAGAAAGTGATTGGGCTGGATCCAGCCCCCGGGCCTTAGTTTGCCTACCCATGATCTAGACCAGTGTTTCCCAACCTTGTGCCTCCAGCTGTTTTTGGACTACAATTCCCATCATCCCTTGCCACTGGTCTTGCTAGTCAGGGATGATGGGAGTTGTAGTTCAAAAACAACTGGAGGCACAAGGTTGGGAAACGCTGATCTAGACCAGTGATGGCCAAACTTGGCCCTCCAGCTGTTTTGGGACTACAATTCACATCATCCCTGACCACTGGTCCTGTTAGCTAGGGATGATGGGAGTTGTAGTCCCAAAAGAGCTGGAGGGCCAGGTTTGGTCATCACTGATCTAGACACTAGCCTTCTCTTGATGCATCCCAGAATAGCACTAGCTCTTTTTGCTGCTGCATCACACTTCAGAGAACTATCTGAACCAAGAGTCATGACGTAACATAAGGCAGCACCCTCCATTCCCCTGGCCTCAGCCGTCGATCCCAGGCCCTTCCTTCCTTCCGCCTTACGAAGTTGCCAAATTTCACTGCGCAGTTGCTGCTCCTGTTCAGACCACTTCCAGGACGCTCCCTTCCCAATCCCCCCAATCCCCCAAACAGCAACCTGCCTCTCTCTGCAGCCGCCTCAGTTCATCGCTCAGGCTGTTGTTGACTTTCATCAGCTGCTGCACTTTTGCTTCGGAGGCGGCCAGCGCCTTCTTGACCTCCAGGTACTCCTGCAGCGTGATGGGACCATCTGAGAGGTCCGAGGAATCCATGCTCTTTTTTTCCAAGGAGAGAGAGAGAGAGAGAGAGAGAGAGAGAGCGCACTCAGTGAGATGGGGTCATTAAAGGTAAAGGTACCCCTGCCCGTATGGGCCAGTCTTGACAGACTCTAGGGTTGTGCGCCCATCTCACTCTATAGGCCGGGAGCCAGCGCTGTCCGGAGACATTTCCGGGTCACGTGGCCAGCGTGACATCGCTGCTCTGGCGAGCCAGCGCAGCACACGGAAACGCCGTTTACCTTCCCGCCAGTAAGCGGTCCCTATTTATCTACTTGCACCCGGGGGTGCTTTCGAACTGCTAGGTTGGCAGGCGCTGGGACCGAGCAACGGGAGCGCACCCCGCCGCGGGGATTCGAACCGCCGACCTTTCGGTCGGCAAGCCCTAGGCGCTGAGGCTTTTACCAACAGCGCCACCCGCGTCATTACTGGGGTGGAAACAAAAATGTTCCAGGCATAAAACAACATGTTTGCGGAATGCTTGTAAATCAGTGCGGAATGCCAACAGCAACAAACCAAGCAGATTTTGCCAGGAAATGGGGTTCCCCCCCAACACCCCAAACAAAGCTGGAAGAATTTTTGCCCTATTAGTTTCTAAACTGTACTCTATATTGCTTCATGTAATTTACAGATCTGTTAACCCCCCCCCCTTACAAAGGTATAGGAACCAGATATTGGAACACATTCCCCCCCCACAAAGATTGGAACAAAACGTGAGAATCGTGACCCTAAAAATCTGTTTCCGTAGGGAAAACTCTTCGAAATGACTACACAGATGGTATCGTGCTCCTTTGCAAATGTCAAAAATGGCATTCTCCCGCGTTGGAAGGGTCGCAATAAACCTGGTGCGCATTATCATTTATGGTGGGAACGTAAGTTGGGGCAAGATTTCTGGAATTTGATTTTGATGGAAATGAAAGCTATGACTCAGGAAACTAGTCCTCATTGCTGATTGTCACAGATCACGCTTCCTTTCCCCCCTCTTTTTCCCAGGGGGGAGGCTTACCCGGGCACGGTTATTGCGCCCCGCGTTGGCACTGCGGAGGGGCTCCTGGTCCGTGTCCTCGTCTGAGGCAACGCTGTCGTAGTCGTGTTGGTCGTCGAGGTCGCTGGGCCCGTGGAGGGAGGAGTCGAGGATCTCTGCAGGGAGAAGGTGACAACCCCGTAAACGGACAGGGTGGACCTCCAGCCCCCCTGTTCCCACCGCACCCCATCTCTCTCTTGCCCCCTAACCTGTGGGGCTGGAGAGGCTTTTGCCCTGCTGCCGACGTTTCGCCTCGCTTAAGATGTCGATGATGAGGGTGGCAAATTCCCGGGCATTGAAGCGGGCAAGTTTCTGCCGCCCCTGGTAGAAAGAAGGAGAAAGAAAGAGAATCATCCACATGGGGGGAGGTGTACCAGCCCAGAACAGTGGCAGAGCTCGGCCCAGATCCAGGAGTCGCGATGAACACCCAGAGTCAGGATTAGGACTTTCTGCATTAAAAGACAAGACAGTTCCCCTCCTCTCTGTTTTATCCTGCAAGGAGGGTAGGCTGACAGGAGGTGACTGGCCCAAGGCCACATACATTGGGCTTCTTGGCCAAGAGAGGGATTCGGACCCTTGTCTCGCGCAGGTCCTATTCCAACACTCTAACCACTACACCCCACTGGCTCTCTGGAATCTGGGCCAGCCCCAGGAAATCCAGCCCTGGATTCAAGGCCCAGATAGAAGCCCCAGCCTGCTCTCTCCATCCCTGCCCTCCAAGAATTAACCACCGTAGGCAGAGAGGGCCGGCCTCAGCCGTGCAGAAATAAGTAACGTCCCACCCGCTTTACCTGATTGCGCGTTGCAGAATATTCGGGGTTCACGGGAAGGAAGGGGACTGCGCTGCGCTCCGTCACCAAGGTGCTGTGGTTCTGCGTCGTGAGCCAGACTTTGTAGGGACAAAGGAGGGCAGGTAGAAGAGGAAGAAGAAGAAGAGTTTGGATTTGATATCCCACTTTATCACTACCCAAAGGAGTCTCCAAGCGGCTAACATTCTCCTTTCCCTTCCTCCCCCACAACAAACACTCTGTGAGGTGAGGGGGGCTGAGAGACTTCAGAGAAGTGTGACTGGCCCAAGGTCACCCAGCAGCTGCATGTGGAGGAGCAGGGAAGCGAACCCGGTTCCCCAGATTACGAGACTACCGCTCTTAACCACTACACCACACTGGCTCTTGAAGAGGATTCAAGACATGTTGGGCTACACTAATTGAAACTTTAACGTCCTATTTCAGCCTCTCACTTCCTGCACTGTTGTCTCTCCTTCTTAGGAAGGGACAGCTGGCCTGAAAGAGACACAGCAGTCCTTTCCTGGAAGTGATATGAGGTCCTCAGCGATGGCAGATCTGGTCCCTGCCTGGCCACTGTGACAAACGGACGCAGAATGAGGTGGGTTCCCCTTTGGTCTGACCCAGCTGCAGGGCTCTCTTCTGAAGTTCTTGCTGAAATCTCTAAGCCACTGCTCCGTAAACATCACTACCTTTTGGGTGTGTATTATTAGCAATTCTCGGAGACGCCCAGATGACAAATCTCTGCCACTCGTATCTTTAAGTATCCTTGAGCGACACACTCACGCTGTCAAGAGCAGTTCCTTGTCATATGAGCTGCCTCACAGGGTTGTTGTTGCAGAAGGATGCATACGCGCGCGCACGACTACAACACAGGGAGCCATTGGTCCATCTAGCTCACTTACACTGGCTGGCAGCAGCCCTCCAGGGGTTTCAGGGCAGGGGGTATTCCTGGCTCTGCCTGGAGATGCCATTGGGGATTTAACCTTCTGCATGTAAAAGAGGTGCCCTACCAGTGAGCTACAGCCTTAAGATACAGGAACCTAAGAAGCTGCCTAATAATCAAGGAGCTACATGTATCACCTAGCTCAGTACTGCCAACACTGACTGGCAGAGGCCCTCCTGAGTTTCAAACCCAGCACTTCCTTGAAATGCCATGGGGATTGAACCCAAGTCCTTCTGTATGCAAAACAGCTGCTCTGCCACTGAGCTCTTCCCCTAAAAACAGAGCAAGATTCTTGTCCTCATGATTCCAAATAAAGGGCTGGTTGAAGCTGGAATATAAGAAACCACCTTATACAGAGTCAGGCCATTTGGTCCATCTAGCTCAGCGCTATCTGCACTGACTGGCAGCAGCTCTCCAGGGTTTCAGGCAAGGGGTCTCTCTTTTGCTGTCCAGGGATTGAACTTGGGACCTTCTGTATACAAAGCCTTACTCCTGAGCTGTTGTCCTGCTTCTAAAGTAAGGTTCCAGTCCTCATGGTTCTGCCGGGGTTTGAACCCGGGACCTTCTGCATGCAGGGATGGTCAGCAAATGAACCACAGCCTTCCCCCAGAAATATGATGCTGCAAGTCAGACAAGCGTGCTCACCAGGAAGGCAATCTCACGCCAAGCGCTGGTGGCAGCGGCAAATTACTTCCATGTAAACATGTCCCGTCGTTGGACTCTTCAACTGGGAAAGGCCAGCTGCTCCTCTTTCCCCTTTTATCATCATCATCATCATCATCATCGATAACAGTTGCGTCAAAAGCTGAAAACGGACTCAATGTCCCCGCTTCTCCAGAAACACAAAACACCCCAACCATGCTCCCCCCAACCCACAAAAAACCCAGGCAAGTCCCCAGCTCAACTCGCACCACCCAGATCCCTCGGGGCACAGCTACAAAGACAACAGTGCTTGTACAGATTACAACCTCCCTGCGGCCTTTTTGAAAGCCATCCCCTTTCTGCAGGCAGGCAACTTCTGGGAAGAAGCATAAATCTTTTTTAAACTGCAAGGGAGGAAACCGGCTACTCCCGAGTCGGAGGGAAGGGAGCAGCCTTGGCTGATGCCCAGACAGGGTGGGTGTTGGTGTGGGTGTGGGGGGGTGACCCACCCCACCCCAATAAAGGAATCCAGCCTGGGAGTTCTCTGGTCCCTAAAAGGGCTTGCAAGCCCCACCCCAAACTCAGCAGGCTCCACGAAAAGCCCACCCACCTCGCCCAGGGACAGTCCAACCGCTGCCCACCCCCCAAAGGCACACACAAACATCCTCTTACCAGCTTCGTCCGGACTCTGGGGCAACTTTTAGAAAGGGGCCTGGAGTTTGCAGAGGGAGCAAAAGGGAAGATTTATCCCTGCAAAGGATTCGGCCGGCCAGGAATGAAAGGGGGGGGGAGGGGAGGCCCGCTCCAGGGTGGCCGGGAAAGAGAGAAAGTGGCCACGTTCCCACAGAACCGCAGCCAAAGCGCTTCGTTCTGCCACCTCACTCTTTTGGGTGGGTGGGAAAAGAGGGGGGAGATTCGCTACAACGCAGGACTTAGCCTGCTGGAAGATGTCAGGCCTGCCCCCCCCTTCCCGAACACCCCCCCTTCCCACACCGCTCTCCCCCTTTCCCTGCATCCCAAGGGGCTGGGTTTGGGGATGACTCAGCCACACGGCCAAGATTTCGGGCTTCGGGCCAAGGAGATGAACGAGCCGCGCCTGGGCAAGGAATCGCTGGCGGGGTGTTTTTTTCCTTTCTTGCCGGAGGAGCGGACGAAAACGGATTTGCAAAGATGCCAGGAGCAGCACTTTTTTGGGGGGGGCAGCATAGAAGAGAGGGAGAGGTCTGGCCAAAATCCTGCGTTCGATTCCTGGCTTGAGGGTTTTCCTACGATGGGAATCCAGGTGGCAGCTGTGGGAGACGGGACCAGACCCCCCTTCAATGCAGGGATCCCAGCTAAAGGATCCATCCAACCTCTGCTTTAAAACCTTAAAAGCCTTTGGCCTGATCCAGCAGCCAGGATCTTCTTAGGCTCTGGCCTCGGACGCCGGCGACAGAATTCAGCTTTCGGAGAAGGTGAATTTTGGTTTTAAAGTGGCAGGCTTCCAGTCAGGGATGCAAGGGCTGTGTTAGCCTGAGGCTGATGTTGCCTGAAACATCTGGAGAGCCCCAAGTGATCTGCAAACAAACCACTGACCACTTTCCTCCCACAAGCTAAACTTGGGGGGGGGGGGAGGCAGAGAAAGGAAGTGAGCCACAATCATTGATTCTGGAATACAGGAGAGGTTTCAATGGGTTGTGCAAACACCATGCATTTATTCCCCACTCATTGCAATAAAAAAGTCCTGGGAACTGTAGTTTCCTGGGAAATATAGTCCTGCATGGGGTAAACTGCAGTTCCCAGGGCACTTGGGGGGGGAATGGGCTTTAAATGTGTCTTGCATGTATGGTGCATACACAGGCTGAGACACAGCAAACGTGTGTACCGAATTCAAATCTTAGGAAAGGGGAGGTAAGAGTGGAGCATGCAGGAATTGCGGGAAGGAGCCAGCTTGCCCCGTATTTATTCTCACATCTGGGTCCCACTTTCTCGAGATGAAAACCAAACGCCAGACATTTCACACACACACAGAGCAAATCTGAAAATTGCAACCATTAAGAACTCACACCAATCTTTACTACAACAACCCACAAATTAAAACGAACTTCAGCACCAAAAGGAGACAGACCAGCAACAGCAGAACTAAATAATTAGAGGCTCTGGCCACATAATGCTCATTTTGCGTTTGTAAAAAAAAAACCCATCGTTTAGTACGGCAGCACCCAGCCTCTGGAACTCCCTGCCTCTTGACACCAAGAAAGTGCTTTCACTGTACGTTTTCCAGCACCTGCTAAAAACATTTTTCGTTAAGGCAAATGCAGAATGCCGACGTTTGTTTTTATCTTATCACTGGTCTTAATTTTCTTTTGTAGGTTTTTAACACTTGTGTTCAAATAATAACATCCTTGTTTTTCCCCCTTTTTGCAAACTGCTTAGAGTTTTGCTTGTTTGCTTTGCAATCGAGTGTTATGTAACTTTAATGAAATAAAATAGTTTTTTTTAAAAAAAAACAGCGAACACCACCCACCAGAATAAAACACCAAACTAGATTTAAAAGCAGGCAAAGGGTGAGGGGCGTAGAGAAGGGGCAGATGAACCCTACTCCCCCCCCCATTGGAAGGCAATGGCATCTTTTTGCCCCACAAACCCCCCTGCCTCTTTTTCCCAGGGCCGGCACAAGACATTTTGTAGCCTGTAGCGCAGACCAAGATGGCAGCAGCCTGCGCCCACATGCAAAAGACATTCAGACCAGCAGGAAAAACTTCCTTTAAGTGTCCTCTGTCTCAAAAGAAGGTGGCAAGCAAGCTCAAGGAAGGAGCAGAAGAACCTCACATTTCTGGCCTTCAGGTTCTCCATAAATCACCTCACGCCCCAGGGAATTATGGGTTGTCAGTGTGTGGGGGAAGACAGCTCTCTTTCCACCACCCGCCACAGTGGACGCCAATGAGCAGAACACACAAGAACCCTGGCCCAGCAAAATGATTCCAGGTGGCTCTCGCAATTGAGCCAAGTTGCATTGATGCGCCCCCCCCTCCCCGCCAACTAAGAATCTTTAGTCTCTTCTTGGAGTAAACCACTAAAACACTTTATATAAAAGGGGTGGGGTGGGAAAGAAACCACGTTCTTTCAAATTTCAGAACAGAAACTGCCATAACCAAAGTTGGGGCAGAGGCTTAATTGTAGAATTGCAGAGCTGGAAGGGAACGAAGAGGTCCTCTAGCCCAACCACAGCAATCGCAGATAAGGGGAGTAAATGTAAGTTTGCGGGGAGAAAATACAAGGCGAGAGGAAACAGAGAATTAAGTTTGGGCAGCGGAACTAGAGCAGGCATTGGCAAAGAAGAAGAAGAAGAAGAAGAGTTTGGATTTGATATCCCGCCTTTCACTCCCTTTAAGGAGTCTCAAAGCGGCTAACATTCTCCTTTCCCTTCCTCCCCCACAACAAACACTCTGTGAGGTGAGTGGGGCTGAGAGACTTCAGAGAAGTGTGACTGGCCCAAGGTCACCCAGCAGCTGCATGTGGAGGAGCAGGGAAGCGAACCCAGTTCCCCAGATTAGGAGACTACCGCTCTTAACCACTACACCACACTGGCTCTCTAGCAAACTGGCAAACTCTGGCCCTCCAGATGTTTTGGAACTACAATTCCCATCATCCCTAGCTAACAGGACCGGTGGTCAGGGATGATGGGAATTGTAGTTTCAAAACACCTGGAGGGCCGGAGTTTGCCTATGCCTGAACTAGAGGGTGTTAGAGGGAGTCTGGATGAAGCCGGAGTTCAAATCCATCCACACCACCCCCAAATAATAATAATAGATTCTTCCAATGCTATTACCACAAGCAACTGAGTGCACATTGCCACCTAAAGGCCAGAGGAAGAACTACAATGAACAAACTGATGTTTTAAAAGGGGGAAAGATTTTTATCAGCCCCTTATTCGTAAGTCTTCAAGCTGGGCAAAGCCTATAAGCATTGGAATCTCCTTGCCACCCCCCAAAAGACTAGGAGGTTATGCCTGAGAAAGGGGAAAGCCCCACCCTCACTCAACAGGGGGTTGGACTAGATGACCCCCCCCAACTTCAAGCCCCCCACCCCCAAAACTCTTCACCTGCATCATTCTCCCGGCGATCCACTTCATCGTAGACGTCCATGGCAAGTTCCTCAAAGAGACGGTTGCTTAGCTATAGATAGATAGATAGATAGATAGATAGATAGATAGATAGATAGATAGATATTTGGGGTGGGAGGGGAGAGAAATGAGATAAGAAGTCGGCTCATTAACAGGGTTCCAGGTGGTAATTGGGGAAGGAAAGTGTCAGAGCAGAGAAGGGAATGGTTGTAACTGGGCGGTCCAGAGGGGGAAGCGTCGCTTAATGGTTACAGCCAGCCATGAGCCAGACTCGTGAGTAGGAAGTTATCCCATGATCCAGAGGTTCCCCAAGTGGGTTGTGGGGGTGGGATTCCCTGGGGGGGGGGCAAGAGTGCAAGAGTGTGTGGGGGGGTGCTAGAGGTGTAAATGATTCTCAGATTTCCCCAATGCTGAGGTCACTGGATCAAGTTCATCAGTTTTGTCCAACTAATTAACCTGCATAGTTTTAATTGGATTTCTGAACAAATGTGCAATCAATGGCTTTGAATTTCATTGTGTTGTTATGTTCCTTGGAGATGTAAGATGCAGGAGAGAAACTTGCTTTATAAACTGAAGGCAGCCCTGTTTAGGGAAGCTTTTAATGTTTAACAGACCACTGTATTTTAATACTTTGCTGGAAGCCGCCCAGAGTGGCTCGGGATACCCTGCTAGATGGGTGGGGTATAAATAATAAATAATTATTATTATTATTATTATTATTATTATTATTGACTTCTTAACACTATATTCCAAATAAAATCTAAAGTACCGTACTTTTCTGTGTATAAAACGCCCCCTAATTTTGGGGACTCCAATTTCAGAAAATGGCCCAAAGTTGTTGAGCTTTTTTGGGGGGGGAGGATCACCCACGGCTGTTGAGCTTTTTGGGGTGCGGTGCGGGTTTGAACGCAGTAAATCACTAACCTCACGGTTGCAATCGCTTGCGCCGGCTAACAATCGCTTGCATCTGCTATAAGCGTCTGCCCAGTCGCCAACAGCGGAAGAAAATAGCAAGCACAATTGCCGCAGCGGCAGCCCATCCTCAGCCGCCCTTGCCGCAGCCGCCAATCACACCACAAATCGCCAATGACAATCTGCAGCTCATGGCTGCAACCAATCACCCCCCCAGTTTTTAAAGCTTATTTTTGAGTAAAAAAAACAAACACCTAGTCTTATACACGGAAAAGCACGGTCACTTTTAAAAAGCAAGTAGAGGAAGAATGCCTCTATTTGGAAGAAGCTGCCCCCCAAGAGAGAGAAGGAACTCTTTATTCAAAAGAGGTACCCCTCCCCACAGAAGAAATGCTTCTATTTAAAAGAGGTTTTCCCTCCAGAGACAGGGGAATGCCCTTATTTCAGGGAGGGGATCTGCAGGGCCTCCAGATGTTGGAGGTCTGTATCTCCCAACTCCCATCATCAAACAACATCTGGAGGGGGTCATGTTGGCTCCCCGGTTCAGGGGCAATAAAACAGCAGGTTTTCAAGGGGGAGAAAGCCTGGGGCGGGGAGATCCGTTTCCGAAGTGGCCACGGGGCCCTCCTGACTCTCAGGGACAGGCATACGACACCCCACCCAGGAACCTCACCCCCCCCCACAACAAAACCCAGAACCGTCCTCAAAGACTTACCGCCTGCAGTTTCTTCTTGGCTGCTTTGGCGAGCTCAGAGAGGTCCAGGCTGTGGGGAGAAGGGCAAAGAAGCCGTCAATCTTCTTCCAGCGGAAATGAAATGGGGGATCAATGCCCATTTCCATGCACCCCACCAACACACACACACCCCTTACATCCTCCAAACGCTGCCTGGCGCCAGACCGTTCACATCTGCAGAATACCCCCAACGAAGAAGTTGCGACGAACAGATTTGTAAGGGCTGGAGGTTTTTAAGCTGAGGGTGGATGGCCATTGGTCAGGGATTCCTTAGCTGGGATTCCTGGGGTTGGGCTAGATGACCTTTGGAGGGCCCTGCAAACTCGCAGGGCCTGTAAGACAGAGCTATCCCACCTAGCTTTCAATGTGAACTTAGCCTGATCTTTTATTCCCCTTCCTTCCCTCCCTCTCCCCTTTTTATGAAGATTACCCGCTCTGGCATCCCACAGCTAATTCTCCCCTGGTCTCCTCGCTGGCCCAAATAGGACTAATTTAGCCAGCTAGCCCTGGGGATCATCTAATGTTTATTGGATGGATTTCCCCCCTAAATTGATTATAGAACTTTGAATTTATTGTTATTCAGGCTTTTATACTGTATTTTATGCTGTTTTTTGTTGTGTCACAATTAAGTGTTTTAAATGTGTTGTTAGCCGCCCTGAGCACGGTTTTCTGAACCAGGAAGGGTGGGGTATAAATAAAAAATTATTATTATTATTTATTATCATAATTGAGGGGCGAAGGCAGGTTTGTCTTCAGACCGATGGACGCAGGTGAGAGCACGCTGGAGATTATAGGCCCTTCTTATGCCCATTTATATCACACTTCTGTCCGGTTTCCATACGACTTTGCTTGCCGCCAGTGGTGGCGGCATTTAGCCAAATCTGGATAGCCACAGCGAGAAGCGAGTGCTGGACTAGGTGGTCTCCAGCAGCCAGGCTCTCTTTGGATCCCTAGACCCTTGGGCAGATTCTCTCAAGGGCAACCTTCTAAGCATTCGTAATCCTGGGGTTTTTCCAGCCCTGCAGAAGACTGGGGGTGTGGGGAGAGACTGACAGGCCAAACACGGTCACAAAAATATTCTATTTATTCCCACCCTCCCTGCCCCTTTGCCTCCAATCTCCTCCAAGCCCACCCCATAAAACAGACACTGATAATCCACGTTATATCTCCCTAGACCCCACAGAAATTTGGAGGGTGTGTGTGGGGCACACAGGGCGACGGTGGCGTCATGCAAACAGTAGCTGAAGCATTGGTACCTTTGAGACATGCATTTTGGGCGCACTCTGAACTCCGGAAAGGCAGCGAGGGGTTGGAAAAAGAGAGAAGTGAGGATGTTAAGAAGAAAGAAACAAAAGCAGAGCGTTATGTAGCCAAAGGGTGGGGATTCGCACTCGCCTCCTGAAGGTCTCGCAGGCGCTCGCTGGGTCAAGATATCAAGCCAGACTCTCCGCGCCTAACACTGACCCAGACCGTGCCCAAAACTGAGCCCAGGGATGCAATGAAGGGGGTTGGACTAGATGACCCTCAGGAACCCTTCCAGTATAATTCTATGATTCTAAGACCAAAATACGCCGCAGTCTGGGGGCCTCGACAAGCAGCCAGGGCCCCCTGTATCTGGTGCAGAGGACCCCCCTTTGGGGTGGGTGAGAGACGTCAGAGGGGTCACCACCACCCAGCCCTCGAGGCAGAAGCACCCAAAGGTCAGATCTGAGGAGCAACGATGGGGCAGGCTCTTGATTCAGCTGTAGACAGCTCAGTTGGTCAAGCATGAGACTCTTAAACTCAGGGTTGTGGGTTTGAGTCCTGCCTTGGGCGAGATTCCTGCATTGCAGGGGGTTGGACTAGATGACATTAGCGGTCCCTTCCAACTCAACAATTCTATAATACATTCGTAGTTTGGATCCCAAACGCCGTTTTGGCTCCTGAACGCCGCAAACCCGGAAGTGAGTGTTCCGGTTTGTGAACGTTCTTTGGGACCCGAATGTCCAGCGGGGCTTCCGATTGGCTGCAAGAACTTCCTGCAGCCAATCAGAAGCCACACTTTGATTTCCGAACATTTTGGAAGTTGAACGGACTTCCGGAACGGATTCCGTTCGGCTTCCGAGGTACGACTGTACCAGGACGCGGTTTAGGAGGCCAGAGCAGTCGTTCTCAAAGTGGGAGGCCAAGAGTCAAGGCGGCAGCAGGGGGCACAAACGACTATCAGAATTTGAAATAGCTGGCCTCCCTGCATCAAGCCCACCAATTCTGTTGAGTTAAATGGTTTCAATTGCATTTTGAACAAACATGCCGTGAATTGTCACTGTTCCCCACCTGTCTGCCATTTGCGGGATGATGTAATGCCCATTCTTGTGGTCTGCGTAGAGAGACAAAATAAAGAAAGGAAATGGATTGAGTAAGATCGAGAGCGCCTTTGTCGAATCCAGTCGCCCTGCCCCCCTTGCACAGAAGCAGGTTCGCTGGCTCCCTTGGACCCCTGCATTGCAGGGGTTGGCCTAGATGACCGCTGGGGGTCCCTGGGCCGACTCCCTGGTTCCACAAAGATTAGCAGGATGGCTCATTCCCCAGCACCACCGAAATATACATTCCCACTTGCTCTGCTGCAGCAGAAACAGGGAATGCTAGGAATTATTTGGAAAGGTAAGGGTTTTAAACAACAACAGCTATGCCATCATTACGTGTGAGCGAAAGAGCAATGGCCCTGTGGCGAAGTTTCCTGGGAGAAGAGCGATGGAGAGGACGTCCCTAAACAGAATCAAGTCACGCCACCCTTGCCTTAACAGTAAACACAATTCTGATCGCTACATTTTTTTAATAAACCAAGAAAAATGGCAATATTGCACAAAAGGGTAACTTTGGAAAGGATGAGCGAATCACACGAGCAGAGCAAAACGCCTTATCCCGAGTCAGATTCATTGGCTCCTCAAGCTCAGTGTTGTCTACACTGACTGGCAGCTGTGGCTCTGCAGGGTTATTTTTTGGAGGGGGAGCTGTCTCTCTCAGCCCTACCTGGAGACGCCGGGAATTGAATTTGGGGCCTCTAGCGTGCAAAGCAGACGCTCTCCCAATGAGCTGCAACCCTTGCCTTAGAAATTACCGTACTTTTCGCTCCATAAGATGCACTTTTTCCCTCCTAAAAAGTAAGTGGAAATGTGTGTGCGTCAGCGTTCCCTTTAAAGAGCCGCGTGGAGAGTGTGTGCGGCTCTTGGGGGCTTTTCCACTTCGCGGAAAAGCCCGCAAGAGCTTTAAAGGGAAAAGCTCCCTTTAAAGAGCGCGCTGAGCGTGTGTGTGGCACTTGCAGGCTTTTCCCCGAGGAGTAAAAGCCTGCAAGTGCCACACACAGCTCCACGCGGCTCGTGAAAGGGAGCGCTGAGCAGAGCCTGGGATGCATACAGGCTCTGCTCAGCGCTCCCTTTAAAGAATTTTTTTTTCTTGCATTCCCCCTCTAAAAACTAGGTGCATCTTATGGTCAGATGCGTCTTATGGAGCGAAAAATACGGTAGATGTTGGTCCTTATGGTTCTGATTTAGGAGCCGGTTTAAATAGGAACACAGGAAACGCCGTGTGTTAGCTCGGAGGGTTGCAACTTTGCATGCCGAAGGTCTCAGGTTGAATCCTGGACATCTCCAGGTTGGGTTGGGAGAGATGCTTTATCTGAAATCCTGGACAGCTCCTGCCAGGCAGGGGAGACAACACTGGACTAGGCGGGCCAGCCGTCTGGCTCAGTGCATGGCAGATTCCCTGTTTCCGCTCTGCAGCTGTTTTGTCTTGAACGGGGACCCCTCCCTGAGCCCCCAGCTCATCTGTGTTCAGAAGGGAGGCTGGACAGGCCGCTCAGCGGGAAGCTGCTGCAGTAGGAGGTTGTTATCCCAGAGGTTTGGCTCCCTCCCACTCGGAACAGTGTGGTTCTCTTACCTGGCTTTCGCCCACAGAGGTAGAAAGCCAGCCTGTCCGTCAGCTCGTACTGGCATTCCACCAGGCGCTCGGCCAGTTCGTGCTGAGACGCCTGCCTGTGGGGAGGGAGGGAGGGACAACGGTCAGACGAGGTAGGCCAGAAAGAGAGAGAGAGAACCCACCCCAGTAAACAGGACTCGTTACAAACTTAATACAACAGAGCGGATCTGCTGCAGTCAGGAATCACAAATGGGTAACCATCTCTTAGACTGCTGATAGGTAAAGATAAAAAGGTAAAGGAAGCTTTTAATGTTTGATTCATTACTGTATTTTAATATTTTGTTGGAAGCCGCCCACAGTGGCTGGAGAAACCCAGCCAGATGGGCAGGGTATAAATATTATTATAATATTATTATTATTATTATTATTATTATTATTATTATTATTATTATTATTATTATTATGCCCTGGGTGGTTAAGTCCAGTCAAAGGCGACTATGGGGTTGTGGAGCTCATCTCGCTTTCAGGCCAAGGGAACCGGCGTTTGTCCAGACAGATTTCTGGGCCATGTGGCCAGCAGAACTAAACTGATTCTGGCGCAACGGGACACCATGACGGATACCAGAGTGCACGGAAACACCGTTTACCTTCCCATCGCAGTGGTACCTATTTATCTACTTGCACTGGTGTTCTTTCGAACTTCTAGGTTGGCAGGAGCTGGGACAGAGCAATGGGAGCTCAACCCATTGCGGGGATTCGAACCGCCAACCTTCTGATTGGCAAGGCCAAGAGGTTCAGTGGTTTAGACCACAGTGCTACCCTGTTAATAAGCAACATTGGGCCAGCAGTGGGAGGGGCTAGAGTCAGAAGTGGGCGGGGCCATGCATGTCATTCTTATAGACACTCTCACCTGGCATAATCGATGGGGCTGCGTCCGTTCACGTCAGGCGCCCCGGGGTCCGCCCCGTAGACGACGAGCAGCTCCGCCTGGAGGATCTGGCCTGCCTTGGCAGCGACGTGCAGGGGCGTCGTCCCTTTCTCCTACAAAAAGCAGAGGATTTTGTTCTACCACCACACTCAGCGCATGCCCAGAGGCACTCTTTCTCTCTCCCGGCTGTTCTACGGCCAGGCTCCGCCAATTAAACGAAAAGGGCAGAGGCCTAGAAGGGTAAGAAACCCGACATTGGGAGATGGGGCAGTGGCGGGGGCTCACCGGGTGGAAGAAGTTGGCCTGGGCGCCCAGGGAAAGAAGGCGCAAGCAGGTCTCCAGGTTCCCCGTCCGGACGCTTGAATGAAGTTGCTGCGGAGGAAGGAGGACGAGGAGGAGAGAGGTCAGGTGGAAGGAAACACAAAGCTATCTACAAACATGTGCACCCACAAACATGCCAGCGCCCCACACACTGAGGGACGAAGACCCCAGAAAACAAGAGCTCATCTACCCCCATTTAATCCCTCTCAACCACTTCAGGCTGTGAAGCTGGCATGATTACAGATGCCACACAATTCTTCATTTGTAAGAAATCCGTATTTTAGCCTGGCAGCTCCTGTCCTTTGGAACTCCCTGCCTAGTGATATCAGTCAGGCGCCTTCGCTGTGAACTCCGTTCGGCAGCTGCTAAAAACTTCTTTGCTTAGGCAAAGCCCAACATGTGTTTTCATCTGGTTTTTAGCTTATTCCAATTATTATTTTTTTGAATTATTTTAAACCGTTGCTTTTAAACTGTGCTTTTTTCTGGGGGGGACGCAGGGGTACCCTTACCCCTAAACATTTTGTGAATCTAAGTTTGGCCTCACTGAGGGGCAGTATTTCAATATGAGTAGGAAAATGAGAGCACCCCTAAACATTTTTTTTAATAGAAAAAAGCACTGCTTTTAACTCTGATAGTTTCCTGGCGTTGTTCTTTTCGTAAACCCCTTTCAGGTGCGCACGCAGAGGTGTCTACCTTGCTGAGGTCCTTGGCGGTGACGCCGTCGTCATCTCGGCACGGGAGCTTGTGGACAAAGGCCAGCATCTGGTATTTGGCACGGATGAATTCAGACTTGGTGGGGCTGCGATACAGAACAGGAGCAGATCAGTGAGGAACCACACTAAGGCGCCGTCCGCACTACAGATTTAAAGCACGATTATACCACTTTAAACAAACATGGCTTTCCTCCCCAGAAGGAATCCTGGGATCTGTAGTTTGTCATGAGTGTTGAGCATTATTAGGTGACACCCCCCATTCTCCCCCTCACGGAAGTACAATTCCTAAAGTGGTGTGACCATCAATTCCTCTTGTTCAGGGAACTCTGGGAATTGTGGCTCTGTGAAGGGCACAGGGGGAGGGATCTCCCAACAATGAACTACAGTTCCCAGGATTCTCTGGGGGAACTGTTACAACTGTATGATGCTGCTTTAAACGAACTGCACAGGTGAGGCCTTTCTCCCCTACAGGGATTTATTCATAGCAGTGGCCTTGAGTAGACTCAGGTAGTCTGGAAGCTCGTCAAGCTTCTGGATAATGAGGGCTAAGAGTACCTCTGCACATGACCAGAGGCACTCTTTCCCTCTCTGCTCTACCTCCTCCAGCACAAGCTTTGGGCCCTGCCCTGGGAAGGCGCTAATTCTTGGTTTGAACATTTTATTAAAAACAACAAAATATGGAAGTGGAAGACTGCCTGCAAGGCAGAAAACCCTAATAATAATAATAATAATAATAATAATACCAAGAAATGCAATTGAACATAGAGACCTACAAAACACTTTGACAGCTATTCATTGTTTTTGCCTTCTTCTATCATCATCATCATCATCATCATCATCTCGTAGAAATGTAGAGTTGGAAGGGACTCCAAAGGTCATTTAGTCCAACCCCGTGCAATGCAGGAAGCGCAGCTAAGCTGACAGGTGGCGTCAGAATTTAAAGCCACCAGAGCGATGTGCAGAGCAAGAACAGAATGAAACTTGGATATGCAAGCTCTGCGAAGGGCAAAATAAACTCCCTTTGATTTTGCAGTAGCTCAAACGCTGTCAGAAATGATCTGTGGGTCCCTTACCATCTCAGACAACCCACATATCATTTCTGAAAGAGTTTGAACCCTCTAAGTTATTGGGTGAAGTGTGGAAATGACCGACGGTGTCCATGGAAATCTTAAATCTGCTTCTGCCTGATCTGATGCCCTTTGGATGCTTCGCACTACAATTCCCATCAGCCCCAGCGTCAGATAGCAATGCCTGCTGAGGATGATGGGAGTTGTAGTCCGAAACATCTGGCAAAGGCGGAGTTATGACTTTGTCGGGTGTCTTCTGCAACCTGAGCTGCTCCTGCTCCTTTTCCAACCCTTTCAGACGTCCGCTCCAAAATAGACAGAGCTCTTGGGTCTCTCCTCTCTCTGCTGCGGTCAGCAAGTTCAAAATTAGTTCCCCGCTTTGTTTGCAGAACTATTAAAAGGGCCCTTGCAGGAGGCCAGGCTGAGATGTCTGAGTAGGCCAGGAATATGGCCACAGATAAAGAATAGAGGCATAAAGGATAGCTCAGTCGGTAGAGGATGAGACTCTTAAAGGGTTGTGGGTCCCATGTTGAGCAAAAGGTTCCTGTTTTGCAGAGGGTTGGACTGGATGACCCTCAGGGTCCCTTAAAACTCTATGATTTGATGATCAGAGAGGCCTTGGGAGAGTGTGTAGAACAGCTGTCCCTAATCTAGCGCTCTTCAGAGGTTTGGGACCACAATTCCCAATCAGCACAGGTGCAGTCCAAGACAAAGCCAGGATACCTAGGGCTGATGGGAGTTGTAGTCCAAAAACTCTGAGAAGCCATCAGGTTGGCAAAAGCAGATTTAACTCTATACAGAATCAAAGGAAGAGCTTTAAAATTGCCCTCATCCTTTGGGTTGCATGGTCTAACTTCCAATTCCAGATGGGTGATAAAACGATAAGAAAAATATTGAAATGCGACATTCCCTTAGATCCAGCGTCGATACTGCTCAACTGTACACTGCCTATCACACGCAAAGAACATTTAAGGAACTTACATCCTATCTGCATTGGCTCAAAAGTTACATTCTTGGAACAAATGCTTAATAAAATTTGGGATTTGGCTACAGTGGCAAAAAAAACGATGCCTCAAGAGCCAGAATTGCAAGCGAGTACAGAAAAAAATTATGGGAAAACTGGCTGCCCCTATGTAACATTGTCAATAAAACAATGACCTCCCACGAAAGCAAATTCAAGTAGATTTTGGGAGGTTTTTAGAAGAAATATTGCACTTTTACGCTAAGTTGTATTTTCTTGCAGATTGTTACGATTTGCAGCAATCTTATCTGGGGCAGTGGAGCTGTTAGTAACTGTCAAACAATTATTATTTTTTAAATGGTTCCAGTTAAGAATGAGTTGTCAGTGGAGGCTAACTGGTCCAACATTGACATTCTGAGTAAGACAGGGATGTACAAGTTACAGGTAGGTAGCCATGTTGGTCTGCCGTAGTCAAAACAAAATAAAAAAACCCTTCCAATAGCAGCTTAGAGACCAACTAAGTCTGTTATTGGTATGAGCTTTCATGTGCATGCACACTTCTTCAGAGACACACCTGAAGAATGTGGAAGAATGTGTATCTGAAGAAGTGTGCATGCACACGAAAGCTCATACCAATAACAAACTTAGTTGGTCTCTAAGGTGCTACTGTTAGGGATGTATCAGAAAATCATAATTACAGCTGGCATCTTCCAGCGGCCCCTCCCTTCTCTACGCACCCCGTATTCCCCACAAAAATTAAAGAATGGTCAATGCCCACTGCCATCCCTCCTTGCAAGACGAATGAGCCCCACCCATCTCCCCCAATCCTCTCCCCGTCTACCCCCTCCCCCAATCCACCGGGACTCACTGGACTTTATCCTGCGGGTTAGCCTTACGCTTCCCGCTCTGGACCTGCGCCGGATCAAGCAGCGAGTGTTCCCATATAGAATTGGCACCGTTACTCGCGAGGGTGTGCACCATCTGAGGACCGGGGGCGGGGAGGAATTGGGGGGGTGGGAAGAAAAAAAGGAGAGAAAAATCAACAGGGAAACGGCCAGTTTACCTGCAGGATCACCTTGTTGCATCGATGCTCATCTGACAGCTTTGGCCTGTGGAACTGGCATTTGTTACAGGTGCCAGAATAAATTCTCATTTTAACATGCTTGTAAGAAACCAACCTCTGTGGAACTCCCTGCCTATTGAAGTCGGTGTACTCGTTTTCGGCGCCTGCTATAGGCAAGGCCATCCAGGCATGCAGAACGTGGAGATCAAAATATGTGTCCTTTTCGGCATGTTGCTGCTTGTAATTAGCTTCTGATTGCTTTTAATACCTGCTATTAATTGCTTTTTAACAATACAGGCCTCGAACATCCTCTCTGAATGATTACACGGTCTGCCTCCCCAGTGCCCCCAGAACTCGTGCAAAGACTGTGGCCTGGTCCCCCCCAGACCCAAAGCTGAGCAAAACTTGTTTAGGAACATAAGGAGAGCCTGATGGATCAGGCCAAATAGTGCCCCCTATGCCAACATCCTGTTCTCACGTCGGCCAACCAGATGCCCCAGTACAAAACTCTCAAGTAGGACCCAAACACAAGAGCACTTTCGCCTGCTGTGGCTTCCATCAACTGGTAAAGGTAAAGGTAAAAGGACCCCTGACCATTAGGTTCAGTCGTGGCCGACTCTGGGGTTGCGGCGCTCCTCTCGGCCAAGGGAGCCGGCGTACAACTTCCAGGTCATGTGGCCAGCATGACTAAGCCGCTTCTGGAAACGCTGTTTACCTTCCCGCCGGAGCGGTACCTATTTATCTACTTGCACTTTGACGTGCTTTCAAACTGCTAGGTTGGCAGGAGCAGGGACTGAGTAACAGGAGCTCACCCTGTCACGGGGATTCGAACCGCCGACCTTCTGATCAGCAAGTCCTAGGCTGACTGTGGAGGCAGATAGTAGCCATTGTGGCTAGTTGCCATTGATAGCAACTCCTCCTCCATGAATTAGTCCATTTCTCTTTTAAAGGCATCCAACTCAGTGGCTGTCACTGCCTCCTGCAGCGGGGAGTTCCATAGTTTAAGTATGTAAAGAAGTCCGGCCTTTTGTCTGTCCCGAATCACCCAACACGCAGCTGCCTTGGATGTCTATGAGTTCCAGCACATGGACACACAATTATGACATACGCAAGTTTATAAGCTTCTTTCACATCGCCTCTGATTTGCCTTCTTTCTAATTTGAACACTGCAACCTTCCTTCACTGGGGATCCTCTTAATAATTTTTTGTTATTGCATTTTGGTGTGCTGGAAAGAGAGATGGAAGAGACAGGCCCCTGCCCCCAAGGAGATTACAATTCCTCTTTATCCAGGCCTTTATACATTTCACTGATTTTACAATCATTTTGACATTTCAAAACTTGACTTCCTTCCCCCACTGTCTGCGGTTCCTTAAATTTATTTTTAATATTTTCTGCATATCCAAATTAACTTAATTTGTTCATTCGATCATCTTTTTTAAATATCTACCTTATGAAACAGCAGGTTATTACAATAATCCTGCCAATGTTTTTAATCTGTTTACAATTCATCTGTAAATATTCAATAAGCCATTTCCATTCTTTTATAGAAAGTTTGCAATTTTGATTTCTTATTCTTCCAGTAAGTTTCACCATTTCTGCATATGGATTATGGAATATTTTGTCTTTTTTTATATTGTAATTTTAGATTGTAAATCGCCCTGAGATCTACAGGCATAGGGTGGTATACAAATGTTAATAATAATAATAATAATAATAATAATAATAATAATAATAATACTGTATTGGCCCAAATATAAACTGCACTTTTTTCCCAAATTCTGATCGTGAAAAGTTAAAGTGTGGCTTATATTCATGACCTTACGCCTCCAGCCTCCACTGTTCCCAAACCTCCCCAAAGCCGCTGAATTTTAAAGGTGCGGCTTATATTCGGGTGTGGCTTATATTTGGGGCAATACGGTAATAGCAGACTACACTTCAAAATCAGCCAACCGAAACAACAAGTCTATAAGGATTGGAGAATCTTTAAAGAATATTTAGAAAACTATGGAATAAAAGGAAATATCTTGGCAGAATTGGACTGATCCCTGTATTATATAAATATAATTTGTAGGGAGGTAAAAAAGAAATTATATAAGAAATATGTAACTGTGCGGTATAAAGTAATGGATAGACAAAGTACAGTGAGATTAACTGGAAGTCAGTTTTAAATTTCTTTTCTATAAATTTTATAATTGTGTTCGATACCAGGAGTATATATGATGATAATTATATTAATCTTCTTATATCTTATAGTGTGGTGGTTTGTTTGATTTTTCTGTTATTTGTTTGTTTGACTGTATGTTTACTTGTATGTACACCTGTTTTTCATAAATGTATTTATTTTAAATTAATAAAGATACATATATATATATATAAAATCAGCTTTATGCCACCCTTCTGGGGATGCCACTGTCCCTCCGGCCCCATCCCGAAAGGTGCCCCCACTCACCTGCAACAAGGTGGCCGACCAAGGGCTGTGTCGAAGGTGCTTGACGATGGATATATGGCGCCCCAGACTGCGATGGACGCTGCAACATTCATCGCAGACCAGCACTCCGCGATTGATTGACGCCCAGCCAGGGTCTGGAGAGAGAGAAAACCACAAGTTTGAAAGTTTGGAAATCGCGACCCTTAATGTCTGTTTCCAGTTTTCTTAGGGAAAACACCTTGAAATTGCTCCGCAGATGGTATCGCACTCCTTTGCAAATGTCAGAATGGCTTCCTTCCATATCACCTAATCATTCTGCCCGGACGCTGAGGTCCAGCACCGAGGGCCTTCTGGCGGTTCCCTCATTGCGATAAGCAAAGCTACAGGGAACCAGGCAGAGGGCCTTCTCGGTAGTGGCGCCCGCCCTGTGGAACGCCCTCCCATCAGATGTCAAAGCGATAAACAACTACCTGACATTCAGAAGACATCTTAAGGCAGCCCTGTTCAGGGAAGTTTTTAATGTGTGGTATTTTAGTGTATTTTTGGTTTCTATGGAAGCCATCCAGAGTGGCTGGGGAAACCCAGACAGATGGGCGGGGTACAAATAAATTATTATTATTATTATTATTATTATTATTATTATTATTGGAGATTGTTGCTGTAATTAACTTGGTACATTCTAACTCTCTTTCAAATCAGAACCAGTGAAGGCGGTGAAGGTCCTGTGTGAGTGTCTGGAGGCGGTTGGAGGATGGGTGGCGGCTAACAGATTGAGGTTGAATCCTGACAAGACAGAAGTACTGTTCTTGGGGACAGGGGTCGGGCGGCTGTGGGGGACTCCCTGGTCCTGAATGGGGTAACTGTGCCCCTGAAGGACCAGGTGCGCAGCCTGGGAGTCATTTTGGACTCACAGCTGTCCATGGCGGCGCAGATCAATTCTGTGTCCAGGGCAGCTGTCTACCAACTCCATCTGGTACGCAGGATGAGACCCTATCTGCCCATGGACTGTCTCACCAGAGTGGTGCATGCTCTAGTTATCTCCCACTTGGACTACTGCAATGCGCTCTATGTTGGGCTACCATTGAAGCTGACCCGGAAACTACAACTAATCCAAAATGCGGCAGCTAGACTGGTGACTGGGAGCAGCCGCCGAGACCATATAACACTGGTCTTGAAAGACCTACACTGGCTCCCAGTACGTTTCCGAGCACAATTCAAAGTGTTGGTACTGACCTTTAAAGCCCTAAACGGCCTTGGTCCAGTATACCTGAAGAAGCATCTCCACCCTCATCGTTCTGCCCAGACACAGAGGTCCAGCTCCGAGGGCCTTCTGGTGGTTCTCTCACTGTGAGAAGCCAAGTTACAGGTAACCAGGCAGAGGGCCTTCTCAGGGGTGGCACCCACCCTGTGGAACGCCCTCCCACCAGATGTCAAAGAGAAAAACAACTACCAAACTTTTATAAGACATCTGAAGGCAGCCCTGTTTAGGGAAGCTTTTAATGTTTGATGTATTACCGTATTTTAATACTCTGTTGGAAGCCGCCCAGAGTGGCTGGGGAAACCCAGCCAGATGGGCGGGGTATAAATAATAAATTCTATTCTATTCTTTTCTATTTAGGATGGGAATGCACCGGTGAGTCGACGCAAGATTCCTGGAACTTAATTTTGATGGAAACGATACAGGTTACTAAAGAAACCATGGTTTGTTGTCCAAAATTAATGTTTCTGATGGTGCCAATGTAGATATAGTGCCAAAATAATTGGTCTCCTATATGATCTTGGCATAGTTATTTGCAACTCGGTGGGAAATGGCCCAAAATCTCACTCTGGACGCTTGGTACCAATCACTCTGGAATAGAGCTAGAATGGAGAAAATTGTGCATAATTTGGGATTTTGACAAGGACCAGGCCCTCTTAACATGATTTGGTATTCCTTTATTACATGGACAACAGAGCCAACATTTTCAAGACAAGCCTCGTCCCAAACTTGGCAAGTCTGGAACCAGATAATCAGATCATACTAATATTCTTTACTTGGACTTTGTTATTTGAACCCACGTGTAATCGGACTCAATTCTCCATGCCTGTTTTATAGCTTTGTTTTTCATCTTTTAATTTTCCGCTCTTAACTTTGGTTCTCTCTGTTTTATATATACATTACAAAACAAAATTTAAAAGTATATTTATGGAAAGAAAATGGAAATATATTTTTGGAGAAAGAACGCAGGAAGCTGCCTTATGCTAAGCCAAACCACTGAGGCCATCTAGCTTAGTACTGTCTGCACTGACTGGCAGCAGCAGCAACAACTCTCCAGGGTTTCAGGCAGGGAGTGTCTCCCAGCCCTACCTGGAAATGTCAAGGGTTGAACCAGGGACCTTCTACATGCCTAGCAAGTGTTCTACACCCCAGAGATAGAGGAGGGGACGTGTGTGCTTTGTGTTACGCTGATTTCATGTGAGGACGGCTCGTGCGCTTTTCTGAAAAAGGCAAGCTGTAAATTAATAACACGAACAATATCGGTAAGCAGGAATGGGAGTGATGAGGCTTCTGAGTTATCACTGCAGCGCAGCCAACGCTTTGGAATTATTTATAATGAAAAACAGCTACAGCTGCCTTTTCACACCTACAAAGGCATCCTCAGAGCAAAGTCATATTGCCAGATCATTAAAAATAACTACATCACCCAGTAAAGTCAAGATGGCATCAGATGCAAAGGCAGCGCATTAAAATTTTCTTTTTTAAACAGATTTGGGGCTCTGGACTTCTGACTTGTCTCTAATTCTCAGCTTGGGGGGCAGGGAGAAGAAAAGCTTTTCTGTATTATTCTTATTAGCAGTCACTTAGTTACTTAAAAGGTAACTTGTTTTGCATTTAAAAACATAAATATATTACCCCACACTATACATACAATATACTACACATAAAGGTAAAGGTAAAGGTACCCCTGCCCGTACGGGCCAGTCTTGACAGACTCTAGGGTTGTGCGCCCATCTCACTTAAGAGGCTGGGGGCCAGCGCTGTCCGGAGACACTTCCGGGTCATGTGGCCAGCGTGACGAAGCTGCTCTGGCGAGCCAGCACCAGCGCAGCACACGGAACACCGTTTACCTTCCTGCTATAAAGCGGTAACTATTTATCTACTTGCACTTAGGGGTGCTTTCGAACTGCTAGGTGGGCAGGAGCTGGGACCGAAAGACGGGAGCTCACCCCGCCGCGGGGATTCAAACCGCCGACCATACGATCGGCAAGTCCTAGGCACTGTGGTTTTACCCACAGCGCCACCCACGTCCCTATACTACACATATAGACTACTAAATACGATTTTATCTGGCAATGTTTTTGAACACTTGATACATTTTGTATAAATATGAACTGTGCATCCCACCACACTATTCCTTTTTTAAAAAAACAACACTTCATTTTAAAAAATCCTTTATTTTTATTCCTCTTTCCTATGGCATATTTTATCTCGATGTTTCGTTTGTCATACTTTCAAATTTACAAAAAATATGCACTATGCCATAAAGAAGAACAATTATCATACAAAATATCAACATTTTCATGCAGCGTGCTCCTTCTCCCCCCCAAAAAAACCCTTTGTACATGCTCAGAGGACGGTCTCCTCATCCCACACATTCTGGGGCTAGGTCTGGGCTCAAGGCCACAGCCCCTGATGGCATTCCCACTCCTCCATTGGGCCACTGGCTGCTCCCCACGAGGCCCCAAAGATCTAGAAATGCATATTCTGCCCCCTCCGCAGCAAACCTTATTCCAGGGAATTTTCACGGGAAAGCTAGGAGGGGGGAGAGCACCCATCAAAAATCTATTGATGCAGAAGAGACACACCTTGTCTCTCCTGCCTGGTTGCTACGGAAACCCGAAAGGCCGCCCTAGAAACATCGAGGCAACTCTTCCCCTTCCAGCAGGGTGACAAAGAGAGAATTCGTCGCATGTCTTTTAGGCCCTGACACTTTAAAACAGGGCTCAGCAACCTAAGGCCCATGGGCCACAAGCGGCCCACAGGGGTCGTTTAACCGGCCCACAAGCCGCCCCCAAAATGAGCCACCCACTTGGTGAGTCCTGTGTGCTGCACTAAACCGGCGCAGCGCGGCGTGGGGACTCGCTTCCGCGGCACCGGAAATCGCGCCTGCACAAACAAACGCAGACGCCGGAAGTCATGGGCACACGCGCAATCCGGCCGACAGAGGGATCTCCACTGGAGTAAACCTTGTCGATCCCGGCTTTAAAAGCATCCTCAGGTGGGAATCTCATTCTTTCCACTGTCTCCACTCACCTCAGCTCACCAGAGCATGATTTAAGGACATAATGACATCATAAGAGCAATGTTGAAGCTCAGATATATAAGCTAGGGAGGCTGTTAAATAGTTGTTGTTATTATCATTACAATGGTACCTCAGGTTAAGTACTTAATTCGTTCCGGAGGTCCATTCTTAACCTGAAACTGTTCTTAACCTGAAGCACCACTTTAGCTAATGGGGCCTCCTGCTGCCGCCACTGCATGATTTTTTCTCTCATCCTGAAGCAAAGTTCTTAACCTGAGGTAATATTTCTGGGTTAGCGAAGTCTGTAACCTGAAGTGTATGTAACCTGAAGTGTGTGGAACCTCGGTTGTCAAATGTAATCTGTTCCGGAAGACTGGAAATTCCTTTAAAAAATGGAGAAACGCACCTCAGAAGCCGTTTGACCTCTGAGGCACGTTCGAAAACGGAAGCATTCATTTCAGGGTTGTCGGCGTTCGGGTTCCGAAGCATTCGGCAACTGAGGTTCCACTGTATTGTTATATTTGGAGCCTGCCCATCTGACCGGGTTGCCAATAGATATAAAAACACAATAAAACCTCAAACATTAACAATTTCCCGATACAGGGCTGCCTTCAGATGTCTTCTGAAAGTTGTATACAGTGGAACCTCGGGTTGCAAATGTGATCCGTGCGGGAGGCACATTCGCAACCCGCAGCGCCACATCTGCGCATGCGTGGACTGCAACCCGGTGCTTCTGCGTATGTGCCAAGCACAATTTAGCACTTCTGCACATGCTCCGAAACCTGGAAGTAACCCATTCCGGTACTTCCAGGTTCGGCGCAGTGCGCAACCCAAAAAACACGTAACCTGCAGCGTCTGTAACCCGAGGTACC